TTTTTTTGAGACAGAGTCTTGCTCTGTCACCCAGGCTGGAGTGCAATGGCACAATCTCAGCTCACTGCAAGTTCCGCCTCCCAGGTTCAAGTGATTCTCCTGCCTCAGCCTCCTTAGTAACTGGGATTACAGGTGTGCACCACCATGTGTGGCTAATTTTTTTGTATTTTCAGTAGAGACAGGGTTTGTCAGTGTTGGCCAGGCTGGTTGGTCTTGAACTCCTGACCTCAGGCGATCCACCCACCTCAGCTGCCCAAAGTGCTGGGATTACAGGCATGAGCCACCGCGCCTGTCTGAGAAAGAGTTTAATTCACACAGAGCCAGCTGTAGGGGAGACTGGAGTTTTATTATTGCTAGAATCAGTCTCCTTGAAAACTCCAGGATACGGATTTTAAAGGAAAATTTAGTGTTGTGGGGGTCACAAACTGCAGGGTGCTGATTGGTTGGATCAGAGGTAAAATCATAGAGAGTCAAAGCTGTCTTCCTGGGTTGAGTCAGTTCTTGGGCGGGGGCCAAAAGACCAGATGAGCCAGTTCATCAGTCCGGGTGGTGCTAGCTGATCCCATCAAGTGCAGGGTCTGCAAAAGATCTCAAGCACTGGTCTAAAGTTTATAATAGTGATGTTATCCCTAGGAGCACTTGTGGAGTTTTAGAATCTTGTAGCCTCCAACTGTGTGACTCCTAAATTTGTAGTCTTGTGGCTAATTTGTTAGTCCTGCAAAGGCAATCGAGTCCCTAGGCAAGAAGGGGTTTTGTTTTGATAAAGGGCTGTCATGTCTTTGTTTCAAAGACAAACTATAAACGAAGTTTCTCCCCAAGTTAATTCCTCCTAAGCCCAGGAATGAACAAGGATGGCTTGACGGTTAGAAGCAAGATGCAGCCAGTTAGGTCAGATCTCTTTAACTGCAATAATTTTATCAGTTATAATTTTTGCAAAGGCCGTTTCAAAAAGGCAGTCTGCTGGGCGTGCTGGCTCGCCTGTAATTCAAGCACTTTGGGAGGTCCAAGCGGATGGATCCCTTGAGCTCAGAAGTTGGAGACCAGCCTGGCCAACATGGTGAATCCCCGACTTTACTAAAAATACAAAATAGGCCGGGCGCGGTGGCTCAAGCCTGTAATCTCAGCACTTTGGGAGGCCGAGGCGGGTGGATCACGAGGTCAAGAGATCAAGACCATCCTGGTCAACATGGTGAAACCCCGTCTCTACTAAAACTACAAAAAAATTAGCTGGGCATGGTG